CTCATTTAAAATGGAAAAAATATGTAACTTAGGAAAACATAATGTGTGTTTTGTAAATATTTGTAAGGTGGCTCCGTGTCAAATTTAATGATTTCCACAGCACATTAATTTTTTCTTGTATATTTTGTGCCTGCACTGTGCCTTCACTGTGCTGCAGCGTGGTGTACGCGCAACTGAACGCTCAAAATTGAATTATTCGACTCTGAAAGAAAATTCTCCGCCAAAGATTGCGTGCTTCTTGCTTCGTACCATGAGGTACATACGCACGGTGTTTCTATAAGGAGCCAGGAATTGTAGCCCTTTTTTGCAAGATGCGGTCCATTGGACTTTTTGCCTCGAGGCAAAATGCCTGATTTTACTCTTTGCTTGTTACAAACACGTCGGAATCATGCAGCATCGATACATGGAATATCGTATTAATGACGATGCATTGGCTTCAAGCATGCGGTATCGAGGCGAAATAGGAGTGAGGGGAGGGGAGGGGTGGTATAGCTTTACGATAATAAATAAATGTGCGTGGAGCGAGGGGTCTGCGAAGCCTCATCCGAGGGATGTCGTACACGCTCTGATGGAATAAAGAAACACGTGTGAAGAGCTCATATTTTAAGGGCAATAAAACCGGTAAGAGAATAATTGATGCGCCCATTTCACTGGGGGCTCCGCAGGAACCAACCGCGAAAGCCAGCAGTACGTGAGTACATTTTGTTACGAGCCTCCCAGCTCCTGGGATCAAGTCGTAACCACGGCTCGCGCATACTCTAAACATACTGCTATCTTCCGTAGAGAAGTTGGCTCCCGCAGCCGTACGTCGATTTTTTGGTGAACCTTGAAGAGGATTAAGGTACTTCTGAGCTGCGGCTCATGCTCGAAACAGTTACTGCTGTTTTCTGTAACGTTGGGAGCCGCTGTGGACGTTAAATCAAGCGCGGGTTTTCTCAGCAGAAAAAAATGTAAATAAATAAAAACAGCGAGGGTTTTTTTCGAACTCGGGCAGTTACGTTCGGGAGGAATAAAATAGACTCATGTGTCTCTGATACACACGGCGATATAAAATTTGCCAATAAAGGTTTAATGGGCGTGCTCCCTAATTTCTACCGGGAACCGGGACCACGAACGGATGAAACCAACCAACTTGGAATTTAATCGTGTGTTACATCTGCTCGTTCGTGCTTGTTCCAGCTCGTTCGCTGCACTATCTTAGCGTCAAGCGCATTTAATTCTTCATTAGACTTAGATTTTTTCCCATTAATTTTTTTTTGTAATCGTCCTTGAGAAAGAGGCCTTGGTTAACGGAGGCAAAGTTGTTACGGTGTTTTTTTTTTTTTTTTTTTTTTTTTTTTTTTTTTTTTTTTTGAACCTCAAAGAAATATACGTTTAAATACAAGGTTGAATTTGTAGTAGAGCCTTGCAGAGAATAAATACCATATACTAGATGCCAGACAGAGTAAAATTTAGGGAAAGGAGGGAACCTGAGACATTTTCAAAAAGTTTACTTCAAGATTGTCGATGTTAAGGCGAGTAGCCACGGAGGCTCAGGTCACGCCTTGCGGTATACCATTGGCAAAGTTTGGAATTAAACAGGGGCAGACATATTGAAAGACTAAAATACTGCTGTGCTAAGGAGGAACGCCGTATGAACCTTCAGGCGTTACCAAATTTCCTCTGATAAAACGCGAAATTCCCGGTAAATATATGAACATTTTCCTTCCAATTTGTCAGATAATTTAGTTTGCAATTTCACCTGAAAATTCTGAAAATTTAAAGAAAATATATTCATAACTTTCCTAAAAAGTAAACATTTTATCGAGGGAAATCTGGCAACTCTTGAATGTTGATACGCGTTCTTCCTAAGTACGGCAGAATAGGGATACATGGTTTTCACTTAGCCCATCGGAATAAACCTACGACAAAATCCTTAAAATCAGACGCAAAACGTGCATTACCGCCCCCCCCCTGCATTCCTTCTCACATCCGAAAACTCGGTGGAATTTTTCCGGCGGAAAATTTCCAAGGTGGGGCACTCATGCGTTTGAGCTGATGCCCGACTCCGGTGCAAGAAGGCGCAAGACGACGGTGCAAAGACGGAGGCGTGAAGGAGAGGACTTGGCCGAGGACGGAATAAATAGCTACAATAACAAAGCTCATGTATCATCCGAAACTAGCGGATAGATATGCTGGCTTTCGCTCCTGGCCCGGTGCGGCGCGCGGCGGTCGGGAACCTCAAACAATGGCGGGAACGTCGGCGCCCAACTCGGAGCTTGAGCGCGGTGGCTAATTTATTCGCCGAAACTTCCCCGGAAACACTTCACGTTTGCCCCAAGTTACAAGTAGACTGTTTACTTCAGCACCGAGAATACCTCACCGCCGCCCCCCTCCCGCCCCCCGCCGAGCAGGAGAGCGTAAAAGTTTGCTCTTCGCCGAGAAAACCACGACCGGTGAAATATTTATCTCGGCGAGGAAATACCTCCTCCCTAATGATGAGCTAATCCTCCTTAATTTTTTCTTTGTACGAGTCCATGAACAAATATCTTATGCGCATTAAGCCTGTTATATATCTGCCGTGCTAAGGAGGAACGCCGTATGAACCTTCAGACGTTGCTAAATATCCTTTGATAAAACTCGAATTTCCTGGTAAACATTTAAATATTTTTCTTCCAATTTTTCCTATAATTTTGGTCACAATTTAACCTAAATTCCCTGAAAATATTAAGGAAAAATATCCATGACTTGTCTCAAAAATAAACATTTTATCGAAAGAAATTTGGCAACTCTCGAATGTTCATACGGCTTCTTCCTTAGCATGGCAGGTATCCTCACCTTCCGGCCAAAGTATCACAAGCGCCATGCGACATTTCAAAATTTCCGTCTCAATTTTATTTATTTACGTATAAATTTTTCAACTTAGCTATGTGACAATTTCAATAAAGTTTCTATGTGATGCCGATAAAATTCAGTGAAATTTTCGGACGGCTTCGTTGAACAATTTTCTTGTTAAAAATAAAATGGCTGTGGAAATTTTGAAACCTGTAGAATGTAGCAAAATCGCTAACTCATTTTCGCCAAAATTGTCAGTTAGGCTGTATTGTTCCTTACGAGCCGTTCATTATATTCCGTGACGCACTTTTTCCGATTTTTTATCCTCCCCCCTCCCCTCCCACTCCTTTCCCCCCTCCCACCATTATTAAAGCACCTCTACAAATGAGTTCAACGGAAACCAACATAATATGAGAATAGAGCAAGGTAGAGGATGTGCGTTGATGCCGGCGCAGAGATACAACTATTCGTGCTTGATGGATGTCCGTGTTGCGTCTACAAAATTGAAGGCGCGATGGCGTGAGGCGTGAACTCGCAATGATCCGCTCTATGCTGCCAATGAAGTGCGTCGCTCCGATTTGGCAGAAAAGTTGAAAAAAAGAAGCCAGAGTATGTTTCTAATATATTTGGATATGTTCATTTTTTTTTCGAATATTTTTATTTATTTATTTTCAATTGGATATCTGATCATGTTCATAAGATGTATTTGTAGACTTTTACCTTAAGCTCGCATCCGTCGATACTCAGAAGAGAAAGTTGACTCGGCCTGAGATTTCTAGGGGTAGTCGTGAAGAAAATCTTCCTGACACTCATTTTTTTCATTTTTTCAATTTGATGTCTAATTTTCTTTTTTCCCTTTTTTTTGGGAGGGGGGGTATTTTTTGACTTATAACTAATATTCGAATATACTGACTCTATGTAACATACAATCTGCGGGGCATGTGTTCTTCGCAAGCCTCGGGTCAATTCGATCCGTTCTGAGCATCGAAGGCTCAATCATAACTAAGATATTTATTTACAAGAGAGCATTGATTTTCGCTCAGCCCTCCCGGGTGCTTACCGTGGCTGGAGACGAGGACTCCAAAATTCGTCCGTTCCGAGACAAAAAAGCGTATCTACGTTTCAACGTCACGAAAGTTCCCCTGAAAATTTAATTTTTAAATGAATCCTATTGAGCGTTTCTTACAGAAAATTTCGCAGAGTATTCCTCAGATCACGTATGAAAATCAAAAAAATTTTAGACAGAAATTATACTTGTTTACACCAGACACAATTTTAGACAGAAATTACACGTGCGCAGTTTTGTAAAAAAATCGAAGGTAACGTTGCATGGTGTCAACGAACCCAAAATCTGATCATGGAGTCACCGATTGTTGTCGTCATGCTCAGGCAGTAAAACGCAAAAATGGGCCCTGAGCATGGTGTCAACGATCACGGTGTCAACAAACAGAAGAATATATTCCTTATGATTACAATTAAAAATTATTTGCACAGGAGAGGTTTGGGTCACGTATAGTTAGATTTGGTTAGTTTAGGTCACGAAATATGTGTGGTTCGATTAGGTAGGTAAGGTTAAAGTTAGGTAGGGTAAGGCCGGGGAAAGACAAGTTCTCGGAAAGTCGGTTAGGTCTTGTCAGGTAAAGTTGGGTAAGGTAAGGTTAGGTTAGGTTAGTATAGGTTGGAGTAAATAACACACGAAAAACAAGACTTGAAATTTGAGTCTTGAGTTTTGATATATAGTGGGACGTTTTAAGTTTCGTTAACGTCGTGATCGTTGACACCGTGATCATATTTCATAAGAGTCAGAATTTTTTATTTTTCGGTGATCATAGTGTCAACAAAAACTTAGAAAAACTGTTTGTTGACACCGTAATCGTTGACACCATGCTACTTAATCAAATGGAATTGTCTTGAAGAATTTTGGAAGCCCAGAATGGAGTTAGGTCCGTTGGTCTGGCGAACGAAGATTCAAGAGCACCGGTTGAGGTGCCTCGGAAGACACAGCCGAGGGCAGGCGTCTGTTCCGCGGAGTGAATGAGCGGTCGGACATAAACAACCGCGGCGGCGGAAGGGGAGAAGCGGGTTGCGGTTCGCGGGTTCCAGGCGCACGCGTGTCAGGCGGGCTGCCGCCGCGAGCATTGAAGGCGCGCGCGAGTCCCGGCCCCGGCGCTCAGTGCACACGACAAACTCACCGCGCTCGGACACGCCGCCGCGCCCGGCAAACCACGCGTCCCTCTCACGTGATTCTCACGCGAGAGCCTCAACAATTTCCGGAAATTTTCGTGTCAAAAACTGCTAATTGCGGATTGAGATACTACGTTTTGTTCCAAAAGTAGACTTCTTATTGAAGTCGATAGTGCAGAAGAGATACTGCCCGGTTTGCCAGTCTAAGATTTGTTTACGCTTGACTCGGTTCATGGAAAATATGCTTGGATTATTTTTCTCTCGTGGATAAAAAATTATGATTTTTTAAAATTCCATCGTAACATGTTTTTGTCAAGTTGGTGATATTCAGTGCATCAGCATCGCACGGTAATATTTGAATGAATGTGTTTCTTTTTAAAATTATTCGCGGCACATTCGACTAATATTTGAAGAAAATTCTTCTCGCGAACATCACTAGAAAATATGTAGTTAACCGTTTTAATAGCTGATTGCCATTTTATATACAATAAAATTATTTGTCTTAATTATACTTATTATTAAATTGGATGCTGCACAGTGAACACCACATGTTATACTACTACTAGACTTGCTTCGTCCCTTGGTTGCTACATAATATGCTCAGTTCTTTGTTTATCCTTCTGAGGGTTCTAATCATTGAAAATTACACAAAATGGTTTTATATGGTCAAACATCGTGTTGGGTTAGTTAATTCAATAAATCAATACAATGATGTACACAATTTGAATTAATTTGTCCATTTTCAAGACTGATTGTACCATTTTTAAAGGTTATATCTAATCAGATGGTGACTGCCATTTTGGGAACAATCAAATCTTAATTTATGTGAACCAAACATTGTCTGAGGATAAACTCTTTGAAAAAATCAAGTACTACAGCTGATACTCACTCCTTAGTGTCGGTGAAATTTTTCAAATTCAAACACATTTTCCTTAAAATCTCGAAGGTGTCACTAAAATTCTTTATCCGTAATATTCTTCACACGTTAACTTACAAGGATTTTGAATGAATTTTGACCACGCGGTTAGTCTAAAGCATGTCATGCAAGCAAGGCGCTTTTTCTTTTAAAGTCGATTCCAAAATAGTGCATGTGTTACGATATTTCTGTGCTGGTTTCTAAAGTTTTCTCTTCTGGACGTTGGATTTTTCAAGAAACCTCATTGCCTGTAAGAATCAGAGCTAAAACTGAACCTTTCTAACGAAACGTTAGCTTTTATCGTAAAGATTAGCAACTTTTAAGACCACGTGTGTTTACTGGGACTCATTACAAGCAGCTCCTGCTTGTTCATAAGTTAAGAACTCTCCTGTCTTTCTGAAGTTTCACCGGTTTTTGGAGGGATCACAACTGATTCTCGAGTAAACTTCGCATATCTTTTAGATCCGGAATAAATTTCCTGTTCCATTTGTGTGCAACTGTCGTTCAGTAAAACTTTAATCACTAGGAAAACAGGCTGGAAAAGGCGAGGAAAACAGACTGAAAACTCGCGATAAAGGGTAAGCTTCACGTTTCCTCTATTTATTTACATAGCGTGCTTTACAAGTTCCAAACATAAATGAGTAAATTATAAAAGCATGTACACAGGGGCCAAAAAGCATCACACCTATGGTTGAGGTCGATTCTCTTATTCTCGTCGCGATGTTTTTTGTGAAATATTCAGAAAAACATGTTATCCGCATTTAGAGACGCGAAGAAAGTTCGCTATAAATTAAAGAAATAACTTTTTTAGATTTCTTGGTTCATATTGAACCAATTATTTCCTATTTATTTGGGTGGTAGTGGGGTTGTTTTTTTCTTTGTTATCTCTAGTAAGTATGATCAATTATGCCTGTTTTCAAAATAACATTTTAAATGAACATACATTTTTTGGAATTCGAGGATTGTCAACAAAGCGAACAAAACGGGTTTTCTTATTTTCTCGCATTCGCAATTTTGGTGCTTACGTGATTTGGAAAATAATCGGTTCAATTATAACATGAGCGGAGTTTTCCAGCTTCGCGTTTCGTCGCTCCTCTCACGAAAAAATGTAACTAAATTGCAATGTTGCCGGATTTTTTTTGCGCAAATTAGATTTTTATTACAAGTTTGAGAATTTCTGACCGAAAATTTCATAAATTTCTCTTCTAAACTCATGCAAAAATCAGACGAATTTCCGACGAGAATTACGCAAGTTCACTCTCATAATAAATTGAATGTTTGGGTGAATTTTGCAACGAAAAAATGTAACTAAATTGCAATGTTGCCGGATTTTTTTTTGCGCAAATTAGATTTTTATTACAAGTTTGAGAATTTCTGACCGAAAATTTCATAAATTTCTCTTCTAAACTCATGCAAAAATCAGACGAATTTCCGACGAGAATTACGCAAGTTCACTCTCATAATAAATTGAATGTTTGGGTGAATTTTGCAACCTTGGAATAGAGTTACGTTCCTTCGCGCGGAAAACGACGAATTGGACGTATTTCTGCCAAACAGAACTGTGAACATTAAGACATGAGCTTTGAGACCCATAAGGATGCATGCATAACAGGGCTCACGTCTTAATGCACTTAGTTCCGTTTGACAGAAATACGTCCAACTGGAGTTGCACGTTTTCCGGCTTTGGCCATGCATCGGTGAGTGACTTTTAACGGCAAAGGGAGTTCGGCCGGAAGATCGGATTTTGGACGTTGAACATAAAAGCTTTCCAAAAAATTTGCTGTCGGCTTATTTGTATTTTTGCCAATATTGGGCGCGATGTTGTATTACAATTCGGAAATTTCGTGCTTTGAAATAGGCAAATTTGAAAATCAAATAAGGCTCTTCGAAACTTCGATTTTTGAACCGTCAATTTTATACAGCTGAAAATCCTGTTTGGTTTGACATTTTTGGGCGTTTCTTTTCTCAAAATGTACCTATTTTCATACTAAAATATCAATAACGCCATTTTTGATTTTGCGGACCACAAAGGGTATTAAGAGACCCTTTCCCTTGTGGGAAGTCAAAAAAAGAGGCAATTAAAAAGTAGTTGGGCAATGATGGGAATTTTTTTTTCCGGCACCAGCAGTATGTATTCACCTTTTTTACTAGCAAAATCGAACAATGGCTTGTTCGTCGAACTTATTGCTTAAAGCTCTGTTTCAACAATTGAAATGGACAAGTAAAATAGAGAATCATTGCTTTGATACCCGGTTGCATATATTGATGGCCAAGGTGCAAAACCATGTATCTTCGTTTGCAAAGTTGCAAAATATTTTCTTTGGAAAACAGGTCAACATAATTTCTTGAATCCTTCCTTGATTTTTCTTCCATCTTGAAAATTTCCTTGATTTTTCTTCTATGGTAAAATATTCCGAACAGATTTCAAGCTATGAAGTTGGGTTGTTTCCCTTCGAAAAGATAAATTACGAGCGGGAATTTTCGAAACGCCGCAGTTGAAATACGTGGTTTTGCACTTTTGCCATGGGTGTGTTGATCAAAAGAAGAGGGCGTTCTAAATTCTATGATGGACAGCACTCAATATTCGCATCGATGTCCCGTTTTTCATCGTCTCATTTTGATCGTGGAGACAGATCTTTACCCAGAGACAAGAGACCCTCCACTGGTATCTTGGCAATGGTGGAAGCTTTCACTTTCGGGACTTCAGCATTTAACTGTTGATCTACATACTAGGTCGATGGTCAACAACGCGTTGAGAGTTTCGTTTTGCAAGCAAACCAAAGTGTGGGAAACTTGTTTGGCTCATGACGCCCGAAGCTCATATCATTCACCTAGTAGTTAGGTCAACAGCCAAAAAAAGGATGATGATTGTTGTCCCCTTATAATTGTCCATAAGAAAATGTAGAGTCCCCGAAAGTAAGAGCTTCCATCTGTCGCCGAGATGCCAGCGGAGGGACTCTTGTCTCCGTCTTTACCCATCACTTTCCGAACTCTGAAAGATTGAGCACCGAAAGTAGAAGCCAGAACCTTTCGTTTAGAAATATCCGTTTCTTGAATACCGTTGAGTGTTGGGGATTCATTTGATTTTTTTAGGGCTGAGCGACGGATTAAACTGAGGAACAAACAACGGTCTCATACTATACTGTGGTATACTATGTCTATACTATGGTATTCCATGTTGATGTTCCACGTTCGGTTATGTGACAGTACCATTGGATGCCTGCATCCGCGGGCAGGGTTCGAGAGCATACCTACAACGAAAGTATGCTTATATGAGCTGAATAATACGGCCGATACAAATAAAAGCTATAGGGTGTAAATCGCCTTTTACATACCTGAACTATTTACTAAGTGCATGTAGAACCCTCGGGCTAGGATTTTGTTTGGAACCAATGTTGGGAAAACCACGACAAATTTAATGGATTCATTAGATTGTAAATCAGTTGATGGGAAAGAGCCATTTTGTCCAATTTTGTATAGTAAAAAAGCAAGAGTTAGCAACTAATGAAAGGTCGCTCATTGTTTTTTCTTTTTTTAAATTAATATGTTATTTTCTTTCTTTAATTCTCATCCAGTTTAAATGTCTTCCTCCACCAACAAGAACTCAATAGACGAGACGAAAGAAAAATGAAGTAGGAGAATGAAAGAATGAAAGCTTTCTTTTTTTCTTCGCGAGCAATCAAGTTGAGCCATTGCACCGAAGCTGGTGAGGCATTTGCCAAAGACATTTCGCTCACAGTTCATTAGCCAAACTCCTTCCTCCTTTCACGCAATCTCCCCTTAAGTTCATCTTAAAGTTCAGCTCAAAAATACCAGTCAACTAAGACGGAGACAAAAAGTCGGACTTGTTCGGTTGCCAGGTAAATGAAGGAAGCTAGTTTAAAATCTGCACAGCTCCACCGAGCATTCAGAGGATTGTCCAACTCCTTCCTTGCCTAGCAAGTACCCAATTTACTTTGCCTCGTCATGTTTAGATCTTATTTTGATTAAAGGAATCTCATTGTTACACATCCTTGGCCGTATTTCTTGTTTTCAACAAGAAAATTTCGCACAATCTCTACACGGTCCCATGGTGCTTAAAACATCATATTTTAACATCCGTAGCACAAATGTTCTTACCTGCACGAGGTCGTAAAGAGGAGGAGGAATGTTTGGCTGTGGGGGGAGGGCGAAAGAAGGAGGGTTGGAGGACAAGGCGCGTGAGTGCAGTTTTTGAAAAATCGAGATTTCAATGATTTCAATCGAAACTAGTCTTAAAATACATATAATGTAAAGAATAATCCACCACTAAAATCCAATTGGACTGTATTTTGCAACAGGGAACTACAATATAAGCACATTTTAGAAATAATTTATGCGTGCGTGCAATGTTTCTACGCAGATATATCCTTCTTCTGCTTCATTTTCTTCATATTCCTCTTCGCCTCCTCCGTCATCTTATCCTTTCCTATTTTTCTTTCAGTTGTTCTTCCTCTATATTCTGTGCTTTCTTCTCCTTTCTTTTCCAGCACATTCTCTTCATTTGCTTCATCTTCCTCCCTCTCTTTTCATTATTCTTTCTTTCTTTTCCCTCTTTTCCCCCTCCTCTCTCCCCATTTTGATTATTCATATATCAATGATGAAACTGCAGAAATGCGTATCTCGGTTTGCGGCGCACAGTGGATCGAGTCAATAGGAGAGGTCGGACAAAATTTGGAAACTTTAAACGCTCGTAACTCCGTTTATACAAAACTTTGAGACTCTAAAAGTGGCTCAATTGGTTTTCTCATAAAATTCTCTTTTTAAAGCAGCCCTTGAAATTCAAAATGTGAAGAAATAAATGTAAAAATTTGCTGTTTTCGTCAGAAATTTCATGTCCGACCTCTATAATTGACTCGATCCACTTTGCGGCGTCGCAGACTTTCTATCATGCCTTATTTTCTACATAGAAAACTACTGATCGTACATACATAAAGTCGCTTTTATAGCGCCGCCTCGCGCTCTGCGACGCCCAATCGCCATTGCCCCCTATCCTCCCAAAGATCATCAGGCAAATGGCACCTTCTGATCTCCTCCTCCACCCCTTGTCGCCAACCTTTCAGAGGACGTCCACGCCGTCGCCTTCCGGGAGGAACCCAATCTAAAACCTGCTTGGGCAACCGATCATCTGCCATCCTTCGCACATGTCCATACCAGACCAACTGCTTGGACCTGATATCGTGCACCATGTCCTTCTCCACACCCATTATCTCGCGTACCTTTTCATGGCGGATACGCTCTCTTCGCGATATCCCAGCAGACCTTCGCCAAAATTCCATCTCGGTTGCCCTAAGCATGTCTTCAGTTCTTTTCTTGAGTCGCCAGACCTCACTCCCGTAAGTTACGATACTCTTCACGATGACGTTGTAAATTTTTCTTTTGGCCTCCTTGGAGATACTCTGGTCCCAGAGAACCTCATTTAGCATCGCGATAGCTTTCCTGCCTTGCACATTCCGATCTTTAATGGCCCGATCCAAATTTCCGTTCTTAGCTAACCAAACTCCTAGATATTTATACTCTTCACAGTCCAGAATCTGCATGTGAAGAATATCCTGTTAAC